ACTCAGCCTCAATGCCCATGTTCATCTGTCCGCCTCCGTTTCTTCCACCAGGGTGTTGCTATTTATCCTGGCCTGGCTGCATTTCATAGTATAAACCGAAATCTTGAAAGTGGCTAGTGGTGTTAAGTCCTACCCATCCAGCCCACCTTAGGGCTCCACCTGCATCTCCCTCCTCTTCCTCCTGCTCATTCCTGGCTCCAAGAGCTTGAGCCCTAATAAGTTCCAGGATGGGAGCTTCTGGCAGGGTCACAGGCAGTGATCGAGTTCTCACTGGGGCTGGGTGTCCTGGTCAGAAGGGAGTTACAGGGTGAATGTCGGGTGAGTAAGAGCTTGGACCCTGGAACTGGAATGCTTAGGTTTGAATTGCAGTTCTAACACTCACTGATTACGTGATCAGAGGCAAGTGATTTAACCTCCTTGTGCCTCAACACGCTTATCTACCAAATGGGCATACTAACTACAATAGTGTCTCCCTCATGCAGCTGTTACGGTATGTTTTTGTTCAGTCGCTAAGCTCTGTCTGACTCTTTGCAACCCCCTGGACTGCATCACATCAGGCTTCCCTGTCCTTTACCATCTCCCTCAGGTTGCTCAAACTCATCTCCATTGTGTTAGTGATGCCATCCAACCATCTCATTCTCTGTCGTCCCCTTTTCCTCCTTCCTTCAGTCTTTCCCAGCATCAGGGTCTTTTCCAATGAATCGACTCTTTGCGTCAGGTGGCCAAAGTATTGGAGCTTTAGCATCCGTCCTTCCAATGAATATTCAGGATTTATTTTCTTTAGGATTGACTGGTTTGATCTCCTTGCTGTCCAAGAGACTCTCAAGAGTCTTCTCCAACATCACACTTTGAAAACATCCATTCTTTGGTACTCAGCCTTTTTTATAGTCCAAACTCTCACATGACTACTGGAAAAACCATAGCTTTGACTATATAGACCTTTGTCGGCAAAGTGATGTCTCTGCTTTTGAAAACACTGTCAGGTTGGTCATAGCATTTCTTCCAAGGAGCAAGCATCTTTTAATTTCATGGTGCAGTCACCATTATGACACAGTGAATTAAATACCTGCGGCAGCAGAGGGTGATGTCCCAACCCCATAACCCTCCTGTCTACTTGAGTTCACTTGTAACTGCAGAGGAGGGTTCCCAAGAGACTGCCAGCTTCCTGCTCTGAGCCCCTGCCTCTCTGCTCTTCTGCTTGAGGGCTTTCTAGGAATTCTGAGAGGTGGGTTAATGCCCTCAGGAGCAAACTGCAGCCTGTGGGGGCAACAGTCACTGGCTAAGTGCCCCAGTTGCCTATTGTCTGGTGGGACGGAGCCCCAGGTACTCACAGTGGCTCCGCACCATAAGCATCTGTTTTGCTTCTGCCCTGTTCATTCTGTCTCTCCTCATTCCCTGCCTCCTGCCTCCTGGGATCACATCGCAAATAAACCACCTCACTCAAGCCCTTATCTCAGAATGTACTGATGTTAAAGCACCCTCAATGGTCCTGTCTGTGTCTGCTGCTGTTTTCTCTCTTTTAAGGGACAGGGTCACTGCTTCTCTACCTGTCAAAGAATCTCCTGATCTAAGAAAATTGCTATAAAGGACTTAGGGGGTTAGAATAATTTGGAATATGCATTGTGGGTTAATAATAGAATGGAACTGAGTGTTGAAATTTCCTGAATCCAGTAACTGTACTCTAATTGTGTAAGACAGTATCTATGGCATTAAAAACTATACACTGAAGTATTTAGGAGTAAAGAGCATCATGTCTACAACTTACTCTCAAATGGTTCCAAAATATGTGCATAGATATATTACTGAGAGTGTGAATGGTGAAGCCCATGGGGTTAAATGTTAACAATTGATGAAGGTGGGTAAAGGGTATGTGAGAGTTTCTTGTTACTAGTCCTAAAGCTTTTCAGGAATTTGAAACAAAACAAAAAGTTACCAAAAAGACAATGTCATATATATAATGACAATATCAGTGTCTTACTGGTCATTTGTCTTTGGACACCAGATATCTTCACACACAGGGTACATTTTTACAAGAGATTTGAGAAAAATAAAGCCTGTATTTTCTGAGACTTGGATAGATTTCTCATGCATAACTTTCTCACAGATTTAGCAATCAATTTAAATTCCTGACCTTCAAAATAGTACCATCTGCTCTCCCTCACGGGTTCTGATCTCCACCCTGTCGGGAATGACAGGTCACTAGAATATGTTCTTGTCTTGGGTCACAAGCTCCACTCTCCCAAAAGGGCGACCAGGTGCATGAGGTGGTCCAGGGGGCCCCGGGGAATTCTGGGAAACTCATCATACTGGATGAGGAGCCACAGGTCACCTGCAAGATCCCACCATACAAGCAAGCAAGGCTGACTGCAGCCCCCAGTGAAGCATGTGGCACTAACCAGAGGAGCTGGCTTCAGGACTTAGACAGTAAAGAATCTGCCAGCAATGCAGGAGTCCTGGGTTTGATCCCTGGTTTGGGAAGATCCCCTGGAGAAGGGAATGGCTCCCCATTCCAGTATTCTTGCCTGGAGAATTCCATGGACAGAGGAGCCTGGTGGGCTACAGTCCATGGAGTCACAAAGAGTCGGACACAACTAAGAGACTTTCACTTCACTGCAACTCTTCTATTGGACTTCCCAGGTGATGCTAGTGGTAAAGAACCCGCCTACCAATGCAGGAGACATAAGAGACTTGGGTTCGATCCCTGGGTTGGGAAGATCTCCTGGAGGGCAGGTCGGCAACACATTCCAATATTCTTGCCTGGAGAATCCCATGGACTGAAGCGACTAAGCACACACACACCTCTCTATTGACTGCTAAATTGGTGGGATGTAGGCTTGGCGGTTTCAAGGGGCACTCCCCACCATTTGGATAAGACTGAAGCCAGAACAGGAAAGAACTGAGCCCCTGGATCCAGCTGTGCTTGCAGTCCTGAACTTTTAAGTTACCCACAAAAATTAATTATTAATTCCCAATTTTTTTTTTTAAGAAATTACTGTTGTTTTTGTTTGCTTTAAATATTTATTTATTTGGCTGCACCAGGTCTTAGTTGTGGCATGCAGAATCTTTAGTTGCATCATGCGGGCACTTTTTATTTTTTTAGTTGTGGCACTCGAACTCTTAGTTTCAGCACATGGTAGCTTCAGTCTGCATTGCAGCATGTGGGATCTTTAGTTGCAACATTCAAAACTCTTAGTTTCGGCATGTGGGATCTAGTTCCCTAACCAGGAGTGGAACCTGGGCCTCCTGCATAGGGTGCTCACTATCTTAGCCTTAAATCAATGGAGCCGGTTTCACTCACTTGCTCCATGTGTGGCCTCAGGCTAGTGGCTTCCCCTCTAGAGCCTCAGTTTCCCATTTCTGTTAAGCAGGGACACATCATTGGGTGGTTGTGAGAATTAAAGGAGGTGTCTGTCTTAAGTGCGCATCCAGGAGACTAGCATGGGGCTCCTGCCTCTTGTTCTTGAGTCTGGTTCTGCTCCACCTCTTGTCCTGATATTTTAAGCTCTGGGAGAGGATAAGCTTAGACGCCTGAGGCTGGGGACTGGACTCCAGGACTGAGCCCTGGTAGTTCAGCTTGGTGACCTGGGAGAAGAGGGCTTTCACAGTCCAGTCAGTGATGGCCAGCGTGGGAGCCCACCATGTAGAGCGTTTGAACAGAGCACCTGGATGAATGCAGGTCAGGGGCTAAAGCAAGTGCTGTCAGCAACCCACCAACATCCCTCTACCCCTCCTGTATACCTGCACCCCTCTAGTAGCCTGTGGAAAGCACCTGTGCCTCTTTGCCTGAGGGTCTTTACAGGCAGGAGAGGCTGAAAGTGCTGGGGAGTTAACATCTCCAGGATTAATCCTGAGTCAATGAGAGATGAGAGCTGGTACATTGCCACAAGTCCTTCACCTCTTGTGTGTCCCACAATCTCCCAGAGGTCCCTAGGGGGATGGCACGCCAAGGCCCAGAGAAGCAACCAGCTCACGGACTCCCTTCCCTGGCTCACTTCCCACTCCCCTATCAATTTGCCTAGGATCACCCCATCAAAAAACTACCTGTGCTTGAGGGACTTCCCTTGTGGTCAAGTAGCTAAGACTCTGCTCTCCCAATGCAGGGGGCCCAGGTTTGATCCCTGGTCAGGGAACTAGATCCCACATGCCACAACTAAGAGTTCAAATGACACAACTAAAGATCCCTCATGTTGCAACTAAGACCCAGCACAAACAAATAAATAATAATTAAATAAAAATACATTAAAAAAAAAATATATATATATATACACACACACACACACCATGTTTTAAAAAACAAAAAACTACCTGTGCTTGAATCTTTGTCTGATGGTCTAGGGGAACCCAGCCCAAGATGGGCTGATTCAATTCTATATTCTGTGCTCAAGGCAAAGGGCTCTGTGGAGGGGGTTGTCTAGAGGTACCAGGGTCATACAAAGGTTGTCAATATTCAAGCATCCAGTATCCTCACACATCCTGCTATAGAATGAAGGTTTGTGTCCCCTCAACACTCATAACCCTCAATGTGAGGAGGTGTGGGGCCTTTAGGAGTTGATCAGGTCACGAGGGTGGAGGCCTCATGAAAGGGATTAGTGCCCTTCTAAGAGACCCCAAAGAGGGACTTCCCTAGTAGTCCAATGATTGACTCCATGCTTCCAATGCAGGGGGTGTGAGTTTCATCCTTGGTCAAGGAACTAAGATCCCACATGCCACATGGCCAAAAACAAAAAAAAAGAGAGAGAGAGACCTCCGAGAGTTCCCTGGCCCTTCTTTGATGTGAGGACACAGGAAGAAGATGGCTGTCGATGAACCAGGAACTGGATCCTCATTAGACACTGAATCTATCAGCACCCTGATCTTGGACTTTTCAGCACCCAGAACTGTGAGAAACCAACTTTTGTTTCTAAGCCACTCAGTCTAGGTTATTTGGTTATAGCAGCCCAAACAGACTAAGACATGTCCTTTAACAGTGACTATTTATTACATATGTCTGGACTACATTCTTACATTGGAGGGGGACCATTCACATAGCTGAATTCCAGGTAAGGTATCCTGATCAGTTGGGCAGGAGAGCAGCAGGAACCCCCTGATGTGGGCAGGAACAATGTGATACCCACCAGGAAAAGGAAGAGGAGGAGGAGATGGAAGAAGGTCAGAGGTCGCCTGGATGCAGGAGTGGGCGCTCTGTGAAGGGAAATACATTGTTAAATGTACCAGTGGGTGCCACCATGAGCCCTGTTCCCCAACCCCCGGATTCCTCTCCCAGACATCTTACCCAGGGTCCGCCTCCAGTATCACATCTTGGAGACTGGAAGACGCTTGCCTCATCCTGTCCTAAACGTAGAGAGCCGCCAGCAGCAGAATGGGTGAAAGTGACATTTAATGTGCTCTTTACCTTACTACCATGGACAGGCAGAACTGGGCTTATTTCTCCTCCTTTCCTAGCACCCCTTCCATCCTCAAGCCCCCATGGGGACTTGGAATAGCTCCAAATGTAGTGGAGGTCTGTCTGTGCCTGCCCTCCATGCAGTCCCCCTTTTCCTGGTAACAGTGGTTCAACTTGGAGAGGAAGGTATCACAACTCCCCACTTTTCTGAATTCACAATTCTACTGCCATGACTAGGCATGTGACCAGATCTGGCCAACCAGAGCCCTCCGTCAGCTTGGCTACTGTGATTGGTGGCGAAGCGGGAGTCTGACCTAGAACTTTTGCTGCCATTAAGTCCAGAGCATTCTCTCCTGGGGTGAGTGAGCCAGTGGGAAGTGAATGTGTAGCTGCTGGGGCAGCCGTGTTGCTGAGAAGAAATCCACTGTGAAGTAGAGCCCAAGACAGGGAGGGACTGCGCCCTGGCAGTATTTGAGGTCTGAAATTCAGCAGCGCCTGGACTTGTCAGTTAAGTGGGGGGAAAAAACAACAACCCAGCATCCCCGTTCTTTGTGTAATTCAGTCAGGGTTGGGTTGCTGTCACTTGCTATCGAGACTCCTAAGTGATACACCTGGCTGAGGACCAACTCACTCGAGACTTCCGGAGCAGGGGTTGTCTTTGGTGACCTGCTACGTGCTTCCGGCGGCTGAGGCCCGACATGAGCATGTCCTGTGGGGAGACAGAGGTGTGGGGTCCTTGGAGAATCAGGGACAGACACAAAGTTGAGGAAGGGCCACGACCGCAGTATGGTGTCATATAGATGAGATTCTGGGGGGAAGAGCGAGATCTCAGGGAGAGATGACGAGAGGGCCAGAGCCCCATAACAGCAACAACAAAAAACCCAAGAAGAGAGACATTATTTATTCATTCACTCAACAAATATTTAATGAGAGTCTGTTACACTCCAGGTACTGTTCTAGGAGTTGAGGACACAGTGGGCAGAGAAGCAGGCAAAATGCTGGCATACATGGAGTTTATATTCTAGCAGGAGAGAGAGAGTCTGTAATTTAATAAATATATAATGTCAAGATGTGGTAAGTACTGTTAGGTGCTAACTTTTTGCTCAGTCGTGTCCGACTCTTTGTGACCCCCTGGACTACACAGTCTATGGAATTCTCCAGGCCAGAATACTAGAATACTGGAGTGGGTAGGCACTCCCTTCTCCAGGGAATCTTCCCAACCCAGGGATCAAACCCAGGTCTCCCACAATGTAGGCAGATTCTTCACCAGGGAAGCCCAAGAATACTGGAGTGGGTAGCCTATCCCTTCTCCAGTGGATCTTCCTGACCCAGGAATCGAACCGGGGTCTTCTGCATTGCAGGCGAATTCTTTACCAGCTGAACCACCAGGGAAGCCCAAGTAAGAGGATAAGGAGTGATAATGTTCTGAGGCAGGTCTCTCTGAAGGGGTGATATTTGAGGAGAGACTGGAGTGAAGGAGGAGGTGAGCTGGGGGTTTGGAGATGGGAGTGTATTTGAAATGTCTGAAGAGCCAGGAGAGTAGTGTGGTTGTGGTGGGGTGAGTGAGGGGGAGAGTGAGAGGAAATGAGGGAACGTAGATACAACAGAGACCCGGAAGGAGAACACCAAGACACCAAAAGAGAGACACTGAGAAAGACAGAGCCAGAGGTTCGAGGGCCTTCTTGAAAGGCAAAGACCCTGCGAGGAGACACACAGAGGGTCCCATGGGTGCTTGGGGGGAGGAGGTCACCCCACCTGCTCTCACCTCCAGGCTTTGTGCTCTGCTCTGGGGGCCCCTGTGGCCACACAGCTCACAAGAAGCCCCTGGCATCCGGGGCTTTGTCCTTCGCCCCAAAGGCTCAAGGTCCCCAATGTCCCCCGCCGGGTCCCATTCCAACTCTGCTGGTGTGGGGAGGCTACTGGGTGCCCAGGGCCCCCAGACCCCACCAGGGCCCGGCCCATCTGAGTCCCCCTCAAACTCCAAGTCCTGTTCCAGTGTGCTGGCCTCCTCCAACACCTGCTCAGAGGACAGAGGTCATGAGGGTTGAGACTGGCACGCGCGCCAGGGACCGCCAGGGTGGGCCATACCAGGCTGGTGCTGACCAGCTGGGCCTGCAGCCGCCACAGCTGCCAGAAGATGCTGTTTTGGTGGGCTCTGAAGGCCCTCAGGACCTGCTCCAGGGCTGCCCGGGCCTGAGGCTCATTGCGCTGCACCAGCCCCTCACCGAACACCAGCAGTGCATCTAAACGCTCAGCTGCCCCACGTAGGTCTGCCTGTAGTGCCTGGGTACACATGGTTGAACATCATCAATACAGCCCACCCCACCACCTACACACACACACACACACACACACACACACACACACACACACTGGGTATACACGGTTGGACATCATCAACGCACCCCACACCACACCACCCCGCTGCCTACACACAGACACACACACACACAGAGGCACCAGAAAACCAGAGACCTAGGACTGGAGTTACTACCCCCACCCTCTTCCCATCCAGACATGGGGAACAAGGAAGAGATCCATTTCCAGGGGAAGCTGGCCCCCACCCTGAGGCCCTTACCCACCTGCAGCTGGACCATCCTGCTCTGGGCTGACATGCAGGGCCCCAGGCCTCGCTCCCAGTCCTGCAGCCAGAGGTTCAGCCCCAGAAGACAAAGATGCAGACTGTCCTGCTCAGCCTCCAATATCTCCCGGCCAGAGATGGGGTGCTGGGGAACACAGGGCTGAGTCAGGGCCGGTGAGCCAACCGGGACCTTGCTCCCACTCCCATTGCACCCAGGCTCCTGCCTTCTGGATGCTTCTCTGCAGCAGAGTCCATCTGTGGGTGTGCCCCAAGCCCACTCCCACCTAGAGAAACTTCCCAGTGGAGTCAGGCCGGAGAACCTTTAGTTCAAATTCTCCAGGTTTTCAAGGCTTCTAGAAACTTGTCCATATAGGGCCTGGGGGTCTTGAAGAGGCAGGGGTAATGGAACCGAATTACTCCCACAGGGAATGGGGCTACACCAGGGCCAGTGATGAGATAATTCCTGGACTTCCCCGGTGGTCCAGTGGTTAGGAACCCACCTGCCAATGCAGGGGACATGAGTTCGATCCCTGGTCCAAAGACATGCTGTGAGGCAACTAAGCCCGCGCCACACCTCAACTACTGAACCCATGCACCACATCTAGAAAGCATCCCCACTACAGAGTCAGACACATTGCAACACCTGAACAATAATAACAACTCTCCACAACTAAAGATAGCCCACATGCAACAATGAAGACCCAGCACAGCCATAAATAAATAAATAAAATATTAACAGATAATTCTCTCTCACTTGATAAAATATGAAGTAGTAAACAGTTCAAGAATCATTGTCTAGAGCATCCCACCCCCACACAGTTGGCCAACACTTTTCCGGAATCATCACCTCATCCCTGGTGTGGAGGCCAGACTCTGGGAGACAGACAGGAGGTGGGGGCTGGCCCAGGGGCCCAGGTCACCTCAGCTCACCTCTAGGTGTTTGGCTCCAGCTGACTCCTCAAGAGAAGAGGGCACTGGCAACCTGGGGAGGTCAGCAACAGGCTCTGGGCCCCTCGGCCCAGCCCGGAACCGCTCTGGAGGGTCCAAGGAGTCCTGTCCCAGCTTCCGGGCCTGTTCTGACCTGGGAGGTAGAGGACAGTGACAGGCCTCTGGGTGAGTCTAAGTGAAAGTGAAAGTGAAGTCGTTCAGTCACGTCCGACTCTTTGCAACCCCATGGACTGTAGCCTACCAGGCTCCTCTGTCCATGGGATTTTGCAGGCAAGGGTACTGGAGTGGGTTGCCATTTCCTTCTCCAGGGGACCTTCCCAACCCAGGGATCGAAACTGGGTCTCCCGTATTGCAGGCAGATGCTTTACCATCTGAGCCACCAGGTGAGTCTAGGTGCACATTATTCACTCTACCCCACCCCTGTCCCGAGTTACCTCTCCCATGTCCCCAGGGGGTCTTAGCCACAATACCTCCTACCCTTCTAGGGCCCCTGCTAATGCCCCCGCCACTATGGACCCGTTTCTAAAGCCCCAGCCCCTACCTGATGCTCTCCTCTCCATATGCGTCTCCAGTAGCGTCCAGTTCCCTAGGGGCTCCGGGAGGGTGACTGAAGGGCTCTGAGGGGGGTCTAGGGCCCAGAGGTGGGGGCTGGGCCATATTTGGGAGCCTGGGGACAGAGAGTCGGTAAGGACCCCCAGCAGGAGCCCTTTTCCTAGCCCCAGTCTCCTAGAAGACTTCCTCAGTAGGACTCACCCAGGCCTGAGGCAGCCAGAAGCCCAGGGGCAGGTTCAGCTCCACCTCCTTCCAGGTGGAACCTGGACCCAGGTAATTTGATGCCCAGCTCAGGTGACCCTAGCTCCACTTAACTCCTTCCTCCCTGGTATACCAGTAGCTGACTCTCAAGCTCACCCCACCCAACCAAGGGGTTTCCAGATATGACCCTGCCCGCTCAAGAGCTCCAAGTTTTGAGCCACTCCAAGACCCAGACCTCTCATCCTGGGAACCCACATCTGCATGTGCATGCATATTCAGTTGTGTGGGAGTCTTTGCCAACCCCATGGACTGTGGCCTGCAAGGATCCTCTGTCCATGGGATTTCCCAGGCAAGAATACTGGAGTGGGTTGCCATTTCCTACTTTAGGGGATCTTCCCCACTCAGGGATTGAACCTGTGTCTCCTGCATTAGCAGGCGGACTCTTTATCACAGAGCCACCTGGGAAGCCCCCCGGGCGCCCACACCATCCATCCAAGGTCGCAGACACAGCGTCCCTCAGGAAACCAAACACCTGCCCCCCGCCCCACCTCCAAATGTCCAAAACCAGAGTAAGACTTTGTTGTTGGTTTATTTGGAATGGGGCCTTTTCCTGCGGTTTCCACGCAGGTACTGGAAAAAAAACCGAGAGGAGCCGCCTCTGCCCCAGAGATCCAAGGTCACAGGGCGGTAGCAGTCCAGGGCTGGAGCGAGCTCAGGAATCCGAGCGGGTCCTGGGTCCTGGGGTCACTTGCTGAGCAGGAGGCCAGCGCGCAGCACGCGGGGGACGCGGCGGATGGTCAACGAGACGCGGGTGCCGCGCACCAGGCGGGCTCCCGGCTGCGCCGAGGGGCAGGCGGCGGCGTTGGGCGGCAGGGAGCCTGCGTCGAGCGCGTCTACGCGGGCTGCCGCGATGCCGTGGAGGAGGCGCGTGTAGGCGGTGCCCCGGAGCACCAGCAGGCTGCGCGGCTCAAGCAGCAGCGAGGTGGCCGGCCGCGGTGGGGGCCGGGGCTGCGGGGAGGGTCGAAGGTTAGCCGGTCCCCAGAAGTCGGCGGCGGGGGCAGACGAGAGATCAGCAGGTTTGGGGGTTCAGGGGCGAGGGTCAGCGAGTCCCAGGGGCAAAGGCAGAGGCGCAAGTGTGCTCCTAAGGATCGAGGCTTTGGAATGAAAATCCCAAGGGCCTGGAGGGGAGGGGCGCCGGGGAGGGAAGGGGCAGTGGTCGGCAGTCTTTTGGGAAGGAGTAGGAACTAGGCTGCAGATGGGGGCGTCTATGTATCTAAGGAATCTTCAAGGAGCTGGGACTGAGGGATCAGTGGTCCCAGTAAGCTAGGTGCAACTGGGCTGAAGACTTGGCTGAAGCCAGGAAGTGAGGGAGAAAGGAGGTGTGGTCTAGGAAGATGTGGGGAATCTCAGGATGTTTTGAGGACCCCAGCAGAGTGGGAGGGGCAGGCTCCATGTAGCACTGACAAAAGGAGCCTCTGGACTTCCCTGGAGGTCCAGAGGTTAACTCTGTGGTTCCACTGCAGGAGATGAAGGTTCCATTCCTGGCCAGGGAACTAAGGTCCTACATTGCAGGTGGTGTGGCCAAACAAATAAAAGTTGGCGTTTTTTTTTTAAGGGAGAACCCTAAGGAGCAGCTGTGGTCAGGGTGTCCAGGGTAGTTTCTGTGAACACTGGGGCGTCAGACACGCATCAGAGAAAGAGGTCAGGGAAATTGTTGTCATGAGCAACCCTCACAGAAGGAAAGGGGCTTGAGCAGCGAGTCCTGGGTTGAGGTGCCAAGGTGCCAAGGAGGTGTCCTGCATGACACATCACATTATTGGAGTGGGAGGGAGGAGGTCAGTATTGGGGTGCCTATGCAGTGGCCACTGAGAGTCAGGGTGTCTGGGAGGATGTCAGAGACACCCCTGAGGGGATGGTGTGGGGCTATCAGGGTATCAGTGTCTGTTGGAGAACTGGGGAGCCCTGCCTGCAGTACTGGAGCTCTCACTCTAAATATGCTGAGCCAGGACATCTGTAGGATGTCAGGACAGTCACTCAACAGGTGGGGGTACTGGGGTATCTGTGAAGATCATGATTTCTAGGGCACCCCGCAGGTAGATGGGTCAGGTCTCTGGGAGGCTGTGGGTGCCCTCCATGAAGGGGCAGAGGTAGATGGGTATCAGGGCTACCTCATAGGCAGGTGGAACTGGGGTCTCTTGGAGGATATGGGAGGTCGGCGTGCCCACAAGTGGCTGGGGCAGAATCTCAGGGCCCACCTGCTCTGTCGGGTCATCGTCTTCTGGCTGCCGAGGCTCGTAGAGGTCCAGCACGGTGTGAGAGCCCAAACTGATAGTGCTGACAGTCGGGTAGTACAGTGGCCCGTCCTCGTGGGGCTGAGGAGTGGGTACCAGGGCTGGACGGGGCAGGAGTCCACACCCCCCCCACCCTCCGGGGTGAAAGGGGGTCTCCCCAGCTGGGGACAGGGAGGCAAATGCTTGGTCGGGCTATGTGAACTGCTTAATGAGAGTGGATGTGGGTCAACATGATGCCCTGCCCCGTGGTGGGTCTGAGGTCTGGGGGGCGGGGTGAGAGTGTGGTTACCATGATGCCCTCCCCAGGCAGATACTGGTTTACAAGGACGTGGTTGGCTGGGAGACCCCCAAAAAGGCTGAGGTCAGACACTTTGTCCACATAGCGCTGGAGCCATGGTGGCAGTCGCTCAGGAACCATCCCCCGGGGATGGGGAAGCCCACCTGGGGAGGGTAATGGGGCGCTGAGGGCACCCAACCAAGGAGCTCTGGCACCAAGGGGCCCCTGTTAGGAATATCTCAGTGGTTGGTAGCACTCTGACCTCCTCAGGGACCCCTAACTCTTTGGAGATCCCCACTCCCCTCTTCAAAGCTTTCCTGCTTCTCCAAAACCTAGAGATACTCCCCAACCCATTGGGAAATTCTAATCCCTCAAGACCTCTACTGACCCCTCAGAATCCTCCTGGCCCTTGGGATCCCTTGAACCCTCAGGGACCCCCCCCCCCCCACCACCACCTTGGCCTCAATGTCCTGAGACTATCCAACCTGACATGCCTACCCCAGCCCACAACCCTAAATCACCTATGCTCACAGTCAGGGACACTTACCCCAGTTCTGTAACTTCCTCCCAGAGAGCTGGGTCCACTTTGGCTTTGGGGCATTGAAGACCTGGGAGATGGAAGGGGGTCAGTCCTTTTTCAAGGACCACCCTCTCTGATTCTCCCACCCAGGCCAACAAAGGGGTTTTTAACTGGGGTGGAAATGGGTCATCCCAGTGGCTGTGGGATCATTCTCTGGGACAGTGTTCCCAGGATCTTGTTGTTTGCCTTTTCCTCCTGTGGAGACCACAGGCCTCAAAGCTGACCTGTGTCTACCAGGATTGAGGAAGGGCTACACAATCAGAGCTCTGGGCTGGATGGAGCTCTTTCAGCCCAGCAAACAGTCTGCACTCTACTTTTCTGATCCCTGGGCTATCTCAGGACAGTCTGAGTTCTGGAACCTCCTTGTTCCTGTTGCCTGGGTTAGAAAAGGTGCTAAACTGGGTTATTCAGTACAGTCAAGAGAGTACTTTGAAAATTCTCCACAGCCAAGACCCCAGGGGTCTAGAAAGGGTTGTCTTAAAGAAGTCTAAGAAGGGACTTCCTGGATGGTTCAGTGGCTGACTCCACACTCCCAATTCAGGGAGCCTGGGTTTGATCCCTGGTCAGAGAACTATTAATATATCCCACATGCTGCAACTAAGAACCCACATGCCGCAACAAAGTTTGAAGGTCCTTAATGCCAAAACGAAGACCCGGCACAGCCAAACAAATACTAAAAAATAAAAAGTTGGACTTCCTTGGTGGTCCAGTGGCTAAGAATACACCTGTCACTGCAGGGGACATGGGTTCGATCCCTGGTTTGGGAAGATCCCACATGCCGCAGGGCACCTAAACCTGTGTACACAACTACTGAGCCCACACACCCTACAGCCTGTGCTCTAAAACAAGAGAAGCCACTTCAATAAGAAACCCGTGCACCATGACAGAGGGTAGCCCCTACTCGCCGCAACTAGAGAAAGCTTGTGCACAGCAAGGAAGACCCAGAGCAGCCAAAAATTAATTAATTAATTAAAAAGCATCTTTAAAAAAAATAAAACCTAAGAAATCTCCTTATTTCCTTCATGGTAATGGGGCTGGGATGGGTTGTCTCCGCAGGAGAGTCTGAGCCCTCAAGCTAACTCATTCCTAGGAGTTAGTTGAGACTGCACAGGGCAAGTTCAGGCTCTATAACCAGGACTCTGGAGCTGCAAAGGGCTATCCCAGTGCATGGATTCTGAACTTTGTAAAACTCTTCTTTCTGCAAACCTTAAGAATAGAATACAGACTGTACTATCTAACACATGTGGTCTGGGCTTGGTAACCTTGTTCCCAAGGCTCTGGGTCTATACTGAGCTATCAGTGGAGGGAAGCATTTACTCTGAACATTCAGAGGCCTGAACTATCTCAGCACAGAAATCTGAACACTATAAATTCTTCATTCCCCAAATCTCAAGGGCCTGAACTGGGCTCTTTCAACCTGTGTTGTAACCTCCTTTTCCCTATAACAGTAGTAGGACTGGGTTGTCTTAACACAGGCAGCCTAAACTCCATAATAACCACCACCTTTCTAGGAATCAGTTTGGGAAGTTCCCTGGTGGTCTAGTGGCTAGGATTCAGCGCTTTTATTGCTGCGGCCTGGGTTCAGTCCCTGGTCGGGGAATGAGATCCTACAAGACGTCTAACTTGGCAAAAAAAAAAAAAATCAGTTTGGTTCCCCTAAGCTTCCTGGCAAAAGCTCTTTCGCCAGGCCCCAGCAGGTGATGAGAAAGAAATAGGGAAGGTGAGGGATGGGTGCTGGGTGGCACTCTCCTTTCTGCCAGCATCTTCACTGTGGCCTTGTGGGCTGTCACGTGAGAGCTGGGGGTTGGAGAGGGATCTGGGAAGAGGAGAAAAACAGACCAGAAGGGTGTTGAGGTCACCTGTCGAAGCAAATACTCCTCCTCTTCCTTGGAGATGAAGTCAGGGATGTAGTAGATTACAGGTGGTGCCTAGGACAGAGAGATCCCCCTGAAGGTGTGGCCCTTCCAGCCGCAGTCTAGTGCTAGTACCCATGCGCAGCCCCTTCTCTGGAGCATAGCTCAGGATGTCCCCAGACAGGCCAGGGCCTTAAGTCAAGGGACCAATGACTATTTGGGGGATGAGGAGGTGGGGGTGAGGCTAAGGCTGGACCCTGAGGGGAACAATGGAAAGGGAGGGGGAAGTCCCAGCCCACAAGCCCAGGAATTAGCCTCCCTATCCACCTCCACTCTATCTCCCGCCCTCTAGTCCCCACCTTCACCCTCTGCACCCCCAGTCCTGACAACCTGCTCCACCCTGAATGGTTCCAGGGCTGGGACCCTGGCATCCTGATCCTCCATCGACAGCAACTCCAGGTACCCGGTCAGACCTGTGGGGAGGGGAGAACATGCTGAAGTAACCAAGCCTGCCGCCCTCAGACTATGATCCAGCTTTCTGCTCTTACCATGGGCCACAGCCTCAGCTCAGACCTCTAAGGAAACTTCCCTTGGTTTCTAAAACCTAAGTCTTCAGTATCTCAAAAGCCACTCAGTGCACATCCCCCACACTTGCCCGGACACAGTGAGCACCCAGAATACTCCCCCAAACTCCATCCATCAAAAGTCCATCAAACTACATATTTGCTTTCTCAAGCTCCCACGGAGAACAGCCTCTGACTCCATCCGCCTTTCCCAAGAGCTCCACCACATATCCCCCAAAGCTACACACCAGAGTCCCTTTAAACACCTTGATTTGAGACCTTATCCTAAAAACTGCCATGCCCTGACTAAGCACAGCACAGCACAGCATGCATGCCTAAAAACTGCTGTCCTGGCTCTCTAACAGTGTTCAAGGTCTTCATAGATCCTCCTCCTTCCTCAAGCCCTTTCAGACGCTCCATTCTGAGCACCCTTGTGCCCCAAATCTAAGCCTCCTCAGACATACCCATTTTCAGTCTCCTCGGATCCCCCTATTATAGATTCCCTTCAAATTTCTCTTCCGGAGCGCCTCTTCACTCCAGCACCCTTGGACCTGTGATCCTGAGTCTGACTCCTTTCACCCCCGAACCCTCTGGATCCCCCGACTCTGTCTTCTAGAACCCCACATTCTGAGCTTCCTCAGACTCCCATATGCGCTTCCCTGGGTCCCCACTCTTAGCTCTCTTGGACCGCCATCTCCACCCTCGGCCACCCCGCAAACTGACCGTCCACCAGCGACCCCTCCAACATCCAAATTCAACATCCCAATTCCCTTCCCAGCTACTTCCGCCCCCATGCCTGACGCAGGCATCCTTAGACCAGTGGGAATTCTCAAAGGCTCTAAAGCTCCGCCTTCCACCCAATAGGCGCTCTCACAGAGTGTCGCCCCGCCCCCTCGCTCTCGTTTGGTGATAGGCTATGCCTCCTGGCCTTTGAGCCACTGGACCCTTCAGAGACCGAGCTTCGTCTGGACCGACCAATCAGAGCTTCAGAACGGAACCCGTCCACACTGCGGAGCGAGCCCATAGTGGAGGGGTAGCTTTGGCGGCCCACAGGGAAAACGCGAGTGCTGGAAGGACACCCCCGCAGGTTAGGCCATCCTACATACGAACCGTAGGGAGACGAGATGGAGGGAAGGACTTCTCTGCCATGCTTCCCCAGTAAGGGTATAGAGGCACGGCCGTTAACTCCCTAAACACCGACACCACACAGAAAGCCATAGAAACGTCTTTATTGAAGGGGAGAGGGGTCATGCTGAGTTTGGGGACATGCAGTGAAGGGGCAGTCGTGAGCTGTTCTTGGTTTTCAGGGCCCCAGGTCTGCCCTGGACACCCTGGGCCTTCAGGGTCTCCGTCGGCTTTTGCTGGTCTGTCCAGGGTGCTCTGAGGTCCTCCAGGGCCAGTAACTTAGATTTGGCGTTTTGGACCTGTGACCAGAAGGTAGATTGAAATGGGGGCTCCAGGATTTGGGATCCCCTCAAGGCCTCGATGCTCCTCGTCTATTAGAGAGGGAAGCTTGAGGATCTGGGGTTCCCTTGGGACTGGGGCTCTTGGAACTTGGGTTTCTTGAGATCCATGGACTCGGGGCATTGAAGTCCTCTGGTTTCCAGGGATGAGAATTTCTGTTTGGGGGTCTCCTGGTGCCTAGGATGCATATCCTGACTACAGTCTCCTCCATCTCAGGCATAGGGACTTCCATGGTTGAAGGTTTCCTGGGGGCTTGGAATCGGATTTTTTAAATTTGGGATTCCCTGGGGATTTGGGGTTCCATGATTTGGGGGTCCTGGGAGTTAGGGTTTGGGGCTCTCCTAGGGGCTGTCAGAATTAGGGGCAGAGGGAAGTTTGGGACATGTACTCTGGGGGTTGGGATCCTGAGTCCCAGAATGGGGCCTCCAAATTTTGGGGTCCCCCAAAGGGGGAAATCATTACTTAAAAAATAGAGAATTTTCTGGGAGCCTGGCCAGCACAGGTGCTGTGGGCCACATGGGGTGGGCTTCATACAAGGCACTGGGGGTTTCTTGAGGGTGCAGAGGATAGGAAGACTTGGGGGTCCTGTAATTAGCACTTCCAGGACTATTTTGGCATCTGTAAATTGGGGGTGACAGTGGGCTGGTTAATGTGGGTCTTTTCTTGAGGGGTAAGAGTAGAGGCTTTTGTTAATGGAGGGAGTCTCTGATTGCAGTCTAAGGGTTTTGGGGTGACCATGGGAGTCACATCTTGACAGGATTGATATTAAATGTGGATCTGTTATTCTTCTCTGGAGATGTTTCTTTCAAGGGGGTTTGATGCTGGGAGGGTCTTTGTTAATAGGGAATGGTTTTGCTCCAGTGACTAGTGACTCAGGAATGTTCTACTGTGGAGCATTATGTAGAGAAAGTCACCATCATTTGGGGTGAGATGGAAATCTGTTAATTGGGGGGTCTGATCTGAGGGGTGGGACTAGCCTGAAGGTACTACACTCAGGGAATCTCTTTCTGGGTAACATAGGGTCTGTATTTGGGGGGGTCATCATGGGGGAATCTGTTAATAGGGCCTCAGTGATCGAGGGCTGGCTAATGGGGGTCTCTATTCTGGATGTGTTACTGGGAATCTCTATCTCAGGGTGACTCGGGGGCTCCTTGTGTCAGGAGACGCTAGAGGGGGCTCTGTGTCTCTGTCGGATGTCCAGAGCTTCTAAGACTGCATCTCCGCCCTCAGCATCCAAGGAAACCAGCAGCAGAAGAGCAACCTGGGGAAAAGAACTGTGTCACACCCCAGTGCAGGGTGCGGGAGCATCTGGACCCATCCCCACCCAGCTCCTCCCCAAGGGTCTGGGATTTGGCCTTTCTGGGTTCTGCCTCCACCTCTCTGGCTCTCTCAGGTTCCTCTGGAGCAGAGGGTGTTCTGTCTCCCTTGTTTTTGTTCAGTCGCTAGTTGTGTCTGACTCTTTGCAACCCCATGGACTGTAGCCCACTCCTCTGTCCATGGGATTTCCCAGACAAGAATATTGGAGTGCATTGCCATTTCTTTCTCCAGGGGATCTTTCCGACCCAGGGATTGAACCCCTGTCTCTTGCTTGGCAGGCAGATTCTTTACCACTGAGCCACCAGGGAAGGTCTTACCTGCCTCTTAAAAATTGAATTCACCAGAATTCATGGTGGGGCCTCACTCTCTAAAGACTTTCCGGGTAAGCTAACTTAAGTCCTAAGTTTTCCTAACCTCTATTTCCAGCCCCAACCAGAACTCCAGACCCCTCTGTCCAGTGGCCTGGTGGATGCCCTTCCCCGAATTATCCCACAGGAGAGGGGACCAAGGGTTGCTACGCACCTGGAGATGGAGTTCTCTGATGCGATGTCCTTTGGGGTCCGGACTGTTGTGAAAGTGCGTTTGGGCTGCGTCACTGAAGAGAATGGCAAGGTCTCAGGTGATGGGATGACAGACCCACCTCTGTCTTCGATATCCACCTAGACTCTTTGTCATTAATATTTATCTACATCCCCAATATCCTACACTCCCAACAGCCATCTGGACTCTCTCGTCAATAATATTCCCTGTGTCCTCTGAGACCTACCCATCTCCCCAGTGCCTGCTCAGAGCCTTGTTAACATCCTCTTCTCCATAACACCCACCCTTTTGGGGGTCTGAATCATCATTTTCCTGGATCCCCAATTAAATACTGGAGATTCTGTCACCAGCATATACCTAAGGACCCATGACCTTACTGCCTACCCCCAAACCACATTCCTCCTCACACCCAGCCCGCAACTCACTTGTCACTTGATGCACTTTTTTGGCTCCGACATTGTCCCCAGGAGGGTCAGTGGATCCACCAATCCTAGGGAGACATGGGAAGTGGGAGGAGTCAGAGCCACAAGAGGCCAGGTCCCGGCAGGAGCTGAGCCGCAGGGGGCCTACGAGGAAAGTGCTAGGGTATGGGGGTGGGTGTCCACTCTATCCTCCTGGTCCAAGAGCAGGAGACATCTAAGGCAAGTACCAGGGTTCTGGGTAGTAGCCTGGGTGATGATCAGAGTCTGGGGCTCACCTCTGAATTCGAGATGCTGGTGCAAAGACGCCATGCTTCGGTGGGCAGGTGAAGTACCGGACACCGAAGACAGAGCCGTCGTGCTTGCCAGTGGGCTGGTCTAGCTCGATGCCATACCAGTACCCTGCAACAGGAGGGTGTCAGGATGCCTTGAGGCCCTGTCTGCCCCCCAGCCCAGATAGTGATCCTCACCTGGGGCGAAGTCTGTCTTCCCGTAAAAGCGCACAATCCCTTGCTTCTGGCCAGCGACGAGGACTTGGTCTCCAACCTCAGCCTTGGCTCCTTCGCGTTGCTGCAGGCTGCCCAGAGACGGGGATGATGAGGGCTTCTTCTTACCTGGGGGTGGAGGGGAACAAGGGGTGAGGGTGAGACCTCCAGACACCAGCCCAGGGGATGCCATGCCACCCGGAAAGCCACAAGGTAGGAACTCTGTCCAGGCTCAAATGAGATGAACTGCAGAGCCTTTCTCTGAAATAGTAGTGGGGCGTTGGGGGGCTTAAAAGAAGACAACCCCAGTTGTCAGAGAACTGGGGTTGGGAGCTTTAGGTGTGAGAGAGAAAAGTGGGTCAAGAACCTAGAGAACCCCAAAACTCTTTCTCAAAGTTAAGGATACTGAGGCCAAAGGAAAATCTGAGTGTCAAAAGTCAGAAATTATCCTTTTAAAATGAAGGAGGGGGGGAACTTCCCTGGTGGTACAGTGGCTAAGACTCCACACTCCCAATGCAGGGGGCCCACATTTAATCCCTGGTCAGGGAACTAGATTCTGCATCCCATAACTAAAGATCCTGCATGCTACAAGAAAGATGGACGATCCCACGTGCTACAACCAACATAGCAACCCAGCATAGCAAATAAATAAGCAAATAAAGAAATATTTTTAAAATAAAAATATGAAGAGGGGAAAATAAATTAAAAAAAGGAGGGAGTTGGGTCTGAGGATAAATCAAGTCACTAAAGCCAGGAACCCCACAGATTCTTCCCTAAAACTGGGAGAAAGCCTTTGGGTCTAAGGGGAAGCTAAGTCACAGGGGGCAGGGAATACACACAGGTCCTTCCAAGAACTGGATGGGACCAGTACTGAATCAAAGGAGAAACTCAGGTACAAAAGTCAGGAACTCAGAGTTTGTCCTCTAAAATGGGAGTTTGGGCCTGAGGAAAAACTGAGTCACAGAAGCTGGGCTACCCACAGAATATCCTCAAGACTGGCTCCTGTCACCCCACGGGATCCAGCTGACCTTTGTGTTCCCTGCGGCCCTTGCCAGTGACACGGGAGAAGTCCATTCGGGGAGTCCGAGGTGTGGAGGTGACGGAGGAAGGAGGTGCGTCCACTGCCTTGGAGATCTTGGACACAGAGGCAAAAAGACCTGGGGGGACAGAGTCTGGGCTGGGACTTGTCCAAGCCTCTGCCCGCTGCCCCATCATCACCCCTGACCCCACCAGTCAGCAGCATCACTACTGAATGGACCCCAGTGGGACTGACCCTGCTTGGGAGGGCAGATGAAGTACCGGACGCCCCCAACACTGCCATCATTCTTGCCCTCGGGTTCATCCAGCTCCACGCCCACCCACTGGCCACTGGCGAATTCCGTGGTCCCGCAGAACCGCAGCGTGCCCGTCTGGAGAAAACAAGGGAGGATATGGCTTGGGTGGGCCTTGGGAGGCCATGATAAGATCACTGGCACAGGGAATTCCCTGGTGGTCCCGTGATTAAGAGTCAGCACTTTCACTGC